AATTTATTAATATAATTAAGAGCCAAAACTTCGTATGTTTCCGCCCAAGAAAGAAGTAGTCTGCTGGCGAGGCAGAGTTGTATGGTTTGCCTAATCTTATTCTAGAGGTAGTCTTTAATACTGTGCAAAAGACTGCGCAAAAGCAGATTAGCCAGGGTACTAAACTTTGCTTCGGCCACAATACATTTACAGCTTTCATAATCTCAGCTTTGTTTTTTGATGCGTTTGTAACTTCTTTATAGCCGTCATCCTCGATTTGCCGTCATTTGCAAGATTCTTTCTTCCTGCTGAAAAATTCTGAAACGCTGCTAGCCTGTCTTGTCACAAAAAATTGCCTTTTTTATATGAACACAGAGTAGAAATGTGTTTCAAATTTCTTCTGGAATAATTGCGATGCAGGATTTGGATGGAGCGTATAGCACGTTTCGACGGGATAAGTTAGCTCAAATATAAAGAATAAGTTCTCTGAAAGTAGTTAAATCACAGCTACCAAAATCCACAATTTCTTTCTAATAGCCATACGCACGATGAGATGAGTCGTTCTATGTGCGGGGGGTTACAGACTTTTCGCGCTGTAGCTGAAGGGGATCTTCGACGAGAATGAAGGCTGTATAGATCCTTTGCCGTCCTTAGACCCCCTTTGCGTCGTTGAGGTACCTAGTTATTGGTAAAAAAAGATTTTCCGCTTTGCGAAGATAAGTGAGAAATCTGTACCGCATTTTCAGGCTGAAGTCCCTTTGAAGTGCTTACTGTAACTGAGAAAGCGCGTTACAACATGCTCAATCACCCATCATTAAAAATGAGTTGATGGCCTTTGTAATTTGTGGTTAATGGGCAGAGAACTTTTCAAAATGTAGTATACAGGAATTCAAAGTTTACAGAAGAGATGATCATGAGAATTTTGGAATTTTTAAAGGAGAAGATCATGGGAATTTCGGAATTTTTCCCAGTACCACAACCTAATTATTTGACAAGTGGAGTACTACGATATATCAGTCAAAAGAGAAAATTCTCTTCTTTTACGTGTATACCCTCAAAATTGTCGATAACCACAATAGTCGATATTGGATCTATTATAATCAAAAGAACTCGAGTGAAATTTGTTGCGTCATATCTCTATATCCAAATCATTCTTCTAAACAAATCATCTCTTGAAACAGCTCGTATTAGTAATTTCACTTCTTGGCTAATGTCATTAGGTAGGATCTAGAATAGGTATAGGATGGTATATCTGACAAGTAACATTGGGGCATGTTTATTTGTAGAAAGTAACACATGTTTTAGGACAACCTGCGAACAATGCGGATTGCGACTTGTTCGTCCCTCTCTCTTAGTCAGGCACATGATTAGAGTCCACTCTAAAAGAGCATTTT